AGTCTACAAAATCATGACTGGTGTGGAGAAAATAAATAAGGAAGAGTTATTTACTCCTTCTCATAACCAAGAAATAGGGGTCACCAAATGAAATTAATAGGCAGCAGGTTTAAAACAAACAAAAGCAAGTACTTCTTCACACAACATACAGTCAACCTGTGGAACTCTTTGCTAGAGGATGTTGCAAAGGCCAACACTTTAACAGGGTTCAAAAAAGAATTAGAAACATTCATGGAGGATAGGTCCACCAATGGCTATTAGCCAGGATGGGCAGGAATGGTGTCTCTAGCCTCTGTTTGCCAGAAGTTGGGAATGGGCAAAAGGGGATGGTTTGATGATTACCTATTCTGTTTATTCCCTTTGAAGCACCTGGCGTTGGCCACTGTTGGAAGACAGGATACTGGGCTAGATGGACCTTTGGTCTGACCCAGTATGGCCATTCTTATGTTCTTATCTGGTTCTTGAATTAAAAGGGGTGGCTTTACTTTTAATTTCTCTCTTGCTTACAGTATGTTGTGACCATGAAACATTTTTAAATGGTAAAATGCTCCTCTGAAATCTGCAGAACTTAAAGCAGGGGGGGAAATAAAAAAACCTTTCTATTAACTGTGGGTTAAATTGTAACTTTACCTTCTGTCTTGAGTGGCTACACCCCAGGTAGCAGCACTGCACCAAGGGCAGACTTTGGGGAACAATTGCAGAAAGCAGCCAGCCAGAAACTCCAGCTGATAGGCCCAGAAGCAGGGACTGCTGGACCTTCTGGTCAAAACCAGAGACTGTTCTCAGACTTTCTCTGCCGTGTGCTGATTGGCTGTTTGCCCCAACCTTCCCCCTTCCTTGCAGGTTTTTCACTTCAGCAGCACTCCACACCTGCCCCCTTGCCCTCTCCTGTCCCCGCTCACACCTCTTCCCTTCCCATTTAGCTAAACCTCTCCTAAGTAAACCCACCCCAAAAATAATCATGGAACTAACATGATGTTTGCCACCACCACATTGTTCACGCTGCTTGTGTTATACCAGTTCCCCCACCCTCTTTAGACACTATTGTCTCACTGTTTCCTTGTACTCCCCCATCGATCTGTCCAAATCCATCTGTTATCTCTTGTCTTATACTTAGATGTAAGCTCTTTGGGGTAGGGACTTTTTGGTTTGTGTTTGGACAGTGCCTAGTAGAATGGGCTCCTGGTCCATGACTATGGCTCCAAGTCACTACAGTACCACAAATAATATAAGAAATAATAAACAGAACCCTAACATTCTTTTAACAGGTTTTATAGAGCAGGGAGGGAAAAGGGTCTTGTAGGTAAGGCACTGGACTGGAATTGGAGCATCCAGGTTCAATTCCCAGCACTACCATGTAGCCTTGTGCAAGTACTTAGTCTGGAATTAGTCTCACAAAATTAAGGTACCACTCAACATGAGTAATGATGGTGGCTTCTGGCCCCAAGACATAATTAGCTATAGTACTTTGATCAGTTGTAGCAGAGTTGTAATATATTCTATCCCTTCAAAACCAGTATGTCTCCTTTACCTTTTAACACTTGTGCAGAGTAAATTCACCTTTTAAATTAGAACAATTTCCATTAATCACTTTCTACCACAGACCATTTTAGCATTATCAAACAATTTGGTTGAGCACTGAAAGTGAAGCAAGGTACAGAAATCTGACAAACTGACCATTTTAACCAACTCTAAAATTGTCATTTTTACCTAGCAGAGGACTCTGAAAAATGTATGTAAAATGCACCAAAGGAAGAAACAAGCTGCTATTTTTAGACATTTCATTTTTTACAGAAAATCAAATACACAACATTTAGCTTTTTGCAAAATAAGGTATCTCTCTCCCTCCCCCCTCCCCAGACCTTTGCTGTAACCAGTTTTGCCAGCAGACAAAGAGTCTGATCAAGCAATATGTCAAGCGCCCTTAACTCCCACTTGAAATCAGTGGAAACCAAGGGTGCTCAGCACATTGCATGACAGCCCTAAAACAGGAGATCCCTATTTACTATGAGGTCACTTGAGTGCTGTACGCATGAGCAACCAGAAGCCAGCAGTTTCATCTTATCTAACAGCAATGATCTGTGCTAAAAGAGTACTAAACTATCTAGAAGCGATTCAGATGGTCAACAAACAGTGGCATTCAGTAGTTCACAAACAGCTAATACATGTTAGCATTTCCCTTTGTTCAATCCATCACAAATATTTGCATCAAAAGATGTTTATTCAGTAACTTCAACTGCTAAGCAGTCCCATGAGTCAAAGAGCAAGCTCTGAGAGCCCCTGCGTCATTACTGTTGCTAGGGAAACTACACCCACCCTATCCATGCCTTTAAGAGAGACTAGACTATAGTAAGGCACTGGCATAGATAAATTACATTTTTGACTTTTCTTGCTATGTAAAAATATATTGCTGGCACACATAAAACATGTTTTTAAATCTTTACCATCTAAAGTATCCACCCTAGTCAAGATGCAGTTAACTGTACTCTAAAGATTTGAATTCAGATACATGTTTTCATTTAATTTGTGCAGTGTAAATTAAGTCTGACCAAATCTTTACCTTTTCCAGGTAGCAGATTACTTTCTCTCTGGAGTAAAGGGGAACCAATGACCATATGGGGAACATATGACAGAATCCTAATATGGTTCCTGATCCATTTCTGGAGCAGCTCAGTTTACTCAAGATAATTGCAAAAATTCTAAAAGAGAGCTTCTTTCATGCAGCATAAAACCAAAACCAAACTGATCTGTTTTGCAGTTTCAGAATTCAAAGTTTAGTATTTGCAGAAGAAATGAATAAATGCCTCAAATACTCAGGGCTCAGTTTAAAAAAATAGATCAATCCCTCGGATGCTTAGAAGACACAAAGTGACTCCAATAACCAAAAAGTACAATTACAAGATATGGAGTAAAAGGAGCAGTGAGAGTCCAGGTAGAAAAAAAAAAAAAAGGAACAAAACACAAGCCTAGATTTCACAGGCCTCACTCGGCTGTGCGGGCAAGTAAGGAGGCATAAGGCTCCATTGGGCTACTTACCCAGTACTCCAGAGTGCAAGCAAAGTACAGCGGGATGGGTGTGCAAGGAGCTCTACTTCTGCCCTGACTTATCAGCCAGAGTAGCCAGCCAGGCATGCAGGGAAAACATTTACACTGCATCTGGGGGCAAGCCTCCCTGGCCGGAGACAAAGACTCACACTAGCATGCTAAAAACAGCAGTGTTGATGTACTGGTGGAGGCTTGGGATGGCTCAGAACCACCTAACCCCTGGGCCTAGGTATCTATGCAATCTTATTTGCCCCCCAACCTCTTTGCGCATGTTCATTGTGATGTAATCTTTAATTACAAGAGCATATACTATTTTTTCCCATAGAACCCCTGCCTCATTTACTGCATAAGATGGACAGAGCTCATTTAATGAGCAGCTGGTCAATATTCTGTTTATTCCTCATTGTTTATTGTGTAGCCCTAGGCCTTATTTACCTGCACACTACTCTAACCCTGCTCTGAAGACAGAGCTTTTCATTTCCTCCTGTGCTTTTCTATTGCACTCATCACCATAGTATTTGAGTGCTTCACAAACAATTAATTTTCATGACTCCCCATAAGGTGGAGAGTATTATCCCCATTTTACAGATAAGGAACTGAGGCACAGAGATTAAGGTTAGAATGGTTTCCACTAATCATGAGTTCCTAATTTAAGACACCTATGGCCTTTTTTTCAGAGTAGTTAGCGTATATAGCACTTTATGTGTTCCAGGTACAGCTCCCATTCATGTCAGCTGTACATGGGAGAGCTCAGCACTTCCACAGATCAGACAAGATGTTTCAAGTTGGGCACTCAAAAAAATAAGGACATAGTTAGTGGTCACCTGTGAAAAGTTTGCTTTAAGGGACTTGACTAGCATCACACAAAACCCCTGTGACAGAGGCAGGGATTCTCCCGCATTCCCCTTAACCATGAGGCTGCCCCCTCTCCTCCTGTAATTCCCAGCCTCATTTACCACACACTTCCCAACTTCCGCAACAAAGGCAGGAGTCCTACAGACAGCCTCCTGCACTGCACAATCCTGATTCATTCCCAGAGCAGGTTCATCCAGTGCCTTAAATGAGGCAGGGGTCCTATGTTAAATATAGTATGTGATCATGTAAAGACTACATTATAATGCACAAGGGGACTAAATTATTTCCCATACTATTCTCGAAAGTGGCTGAACCATTTTTGATGAAGCTCTCCAAAAAAATTTAGCCTGAGGCAAACACCCGGCATACAAAATGTTAACCTGAACAACTAAAGTTTGGCAAAATTGTAAGCACTGAAAACAGGGTCTAGTGGAAAGTGTTGGGCAACCTTAACTACAAGCAGTACTATCAGCTTCTCCTATAATTTTTCATCTTATTTCTGTACTTTTATTTATAATCTTCTGCATATCCATTCGCTTAGTGGTTCTCAACTCTAGTCCACCACTTGTTCAGGAAAAGCCTCAGGAGCGCTGGGCCGATTTGTTTACCTGCCGCGTCTGCAGGTTCGGCTGATCGCAGCTCCCACTGGCTGCAGTTCACCGCTCCAGGCCAATGGGGGCTGCGGGAAGGGCGGTCAGCATATCCCTTGGCCCGGGCCTCTTTCTGCAGCCCCATTGGTCTGGAGCAGCGAATCGTGGCCAGTTGGAGCCGCGATTGGCCGAACCTGTGGACGCGGCAGGTAAACAAACCGGCCCGGCCCACCAGGGGCTTTCCCTGAACAAGCAGTGGACCAGAGTTGAGAACCACTGGCTTAGATATTGCCTCTTACTAAAAAGAAAACAATGACTTGTATGTAACTTAGAATTCATGTAACAGCACATTGAACTCATGATTCAAGTAGCTACATTTTTAAAAACAAGCATTCCAAACCCAGAAAAAATAGATGAAGTTTCCTTCCTCATTAAAAAGTGTGGCTTGGAAAACCAACTGACCAAAAAATCACAAACAAGCAATAGTCAAATTGTGTTTCTTTGTTTTAGATGGATACACCACTGATGATATTGAGTTTTACTGGAATGGAGGGGAATCTGCAGTAACAGGAGTTAATAATATTGAGCTTCCACAGTTTTCAATTGTTGATTACAAGATGGTATCAAAAAAAGTGGAATTTACAACAGGTAAGCACTGACTATCTCAAAAAGTGCACCCGACACAGAAATATCAATGGCTGAAGTTTTCATAACGTCACTTTCATCCTTCTTTCAGGGGCATATCCTCGATTATCACTTAGTTTTCGGCTTAAACGAAATATTGGTTACTTCATTTTGCAAACCTACATGCCTTCCACGTTGATCACAATTCTATCGTGGGTATCTTTTTGGATCAACTATGATGCCTCTGCTGCAAGAGTTGCCCTAGGTAATTTATTTTCAAAGCTATTGAAGTGGCTTGAGTACTGACTTGTGTAACTCAGCATGGCTCCATAGTCAATGGGACTATGTTGATTCACAGTAACTGAAAACTTGACCCTGTGTTTCACCCACATGCCAGCTCATATTGTGATACCATGCTACCTGCTACAATTTTACCTGAGCAATCTGAAAGGAGGTCCTCAACCTGTTAGCATAGTTTATAAGGACTGATTGTGGTTTGAGCCTATAATCTTTTCAAAAGCTAACTGCAGTAAATCATGTTGTCCCCAGTCTCCTTTAATTGGAGCACCTTATGACTAAATGAATCTAGAGCTATTCATTAGATATATTAACGGCCTGTGATTAGAACAGAATAGAAACTGGTTTCATTCTCATAGACCAACATCAAAAATTAATAACATTGTGGTTGATAGATTACAAAGCCATGAGCTGGAAAAGTTTCACCTCATAGAATGAAGTAATCCCTTTGAAAATTAGTGAAGAGGGCTATTATGATGGCACCACCAACCTCCCTACACTAATGCCCACCATTCCGGTCTGGAGCCTCCATTTATCCCCTCAACTTTCGATCCTCAGTCAAAATTACTCCTAATACCTTTCCTCTGGCTAGGATACTTACTCTGAACTCCAAGAACACTGGTAAATTTAATTCCACTCTATGTGGATCAGGCAGGATGGCTACTTTAAGAATCAAGTTAGCAGCATTCCCTCACCTGACAAGACCAAGTGTCTTCTCCATAACAACCCTGTTCTGTAGTGACTACATCAGCCAGCACTGGAATGTGACTTTGTAAATCACATATTCTTCGTAAAGGGTCTTAAGTGTATTAAAAAAAAAGCAGGGTAGGCTACTAATGAGACAGGCAACTGGAGAAGAAAAGTGTTCAGGTAACTGATTGTCCCTCCTGCCATGGAAAAGGCAAGGGGTTGGCCCCCAAGGCCTGCAGAGCTTGCAGTTTAATATGTCACTTAAAGAAGGCAACTGCTGTTTCAAATTTCCCACTTTCCTCTTCACTGGCTCCCTTCACTACCAGTTTATATACATAAACCTAGCATGTTATATAGGTCATACTGTCTTGATGCCCATTAATATTTTTTGCTAGATGACAAATGCATTCCCTTAATGGTTAGGAGTGTCTGCTGAAATAATTAAGCCAACTATGTCATAAGCCCAATGGCATTGTGTTTGAGCAATGATACAGCTTTTATGCCTTCAAAGTGATGAACAATGTATCAGAGTTCCCTTACCGACATTTTTTTTTTAACTTCACAGGAATCACAACTGTGCTGACCATGACCACAATCAGCACTCATCTCAGGGAAACACTGCCAAAGATTCCCTATGTAAAGGCAATAGATATTTACCTAATGGGATGCTTTGTGTTTGTATTTCTCGCCTTGCTGGAATATGCCTTTGTAAACTACATATTCTTTGGGAAAGGTCCTCACCGTCAAAAAAAGGCAGCTGAGAAGGCTACTGATGAGGAGGGCAAACCAGAGATGAATAAAGTCCAGGTACTTGAGTAAAGCTAATGTTTCATATATTTTTATTTCTAATAGGGCATAAATGAAAGCATTAAACATTTTCCAAAGAAGTTAATATATAATAAGGGAGTTACTGCAACTAAACTATGGTGCCTGTCTTCAACTCAAATATGGTGCCACATTTCTGTCAGTGCCAATGAGCTCATCATCCTCATTGTACTACATGGCCAGATAAAAATACTTACCTACATTCATCTGTTGTCCAAAACCATACAGAGTGACCTCTTATGCTACATGGAAATTCAGTTCAAGACCCTGACACCTACAGGTACTCCTCAAAGGGTTCCCCCTACACTGTTAAGGGCATAAGCCATCCCTTTATGGATTATTCGCTGGAGATGCTGTCCATACCTATGCTGCATTCAGATGAGAAGCGGGGAAAACAAGTTAACAGAGGCCAGTTTCAAACACTCACACCTCTGCTCAAACACCCCAAAGCTATTCTGATCCAGGTGGAAGGTGGACAGTGAGGATCCATGAAGAAAATAGAGAAGCACCTCTTCTCCAGCATCAGCCCTGGCTGTGTGGACCCTGGTACATGAGCAGATGACTTTGTAGGTGGTCCATGGAACAGAGGTAAGTTACATTTTTTCTACAGATTTGGTGACACCAGTTACATCTTGCTGACGTTCACCAAAGCCAGTTTAAAACTTTCACTTTGATCGTAAACTGGCAGAAATATTACAGAAATTAAGAACATCTGTATCAGACAATTGCTTAATTGAATTGCCTTTTACACACACTCAACATATGCCTGTGACACACAGGCATTTAAATTAATTGTTAAAGAGATCTGTCAATTAATGATTTTGTTGTTGTATTGGTGACTGTAGACATACTGCATGCATGATCCTCGTAAGTATCCTTTTGGCTTGCAGTATGGAAAATATTGATGTTCTAAGGTTGGCTTTATCTTTCAGTTTTACATAGGAAGAATACATGATCAGAGCTGCAGGTTGGAAGCTAACTGGCGGAACTGGTGGAGCTGGAGTAGTTCATCTGAGCCCTAATCTACAGAATTTCCCTATATCTTTCATATTTCAGCGGTCAGTACCAAAATATAGGAAGCTGATTTCAGAGGGTGAGAGAAGAGCAGCAGTAAGTATGTACAATCACAAGATATGGCTTCCTCTACCATATTGACCCATGTCATATATCCATATTAGTTACCACTGTAAACAACTGTGATGTACACATAACAGTTCTTCTCCTTTTCTCCAGGTTAATAGTGCTACTTATTTCTACCTGAGATGTGCCCTAGGTAAGGAGGATGAGTTTCTTCCTACAGCAAATTCAGCATATCTAATGGCATAGTGAGACATGCAATGAACTGATTATGAAATTGAACCAGCACCTGAAAGAGAAACTGGATAAGTTTATGCTCAAATAAATTTGGATGCAGATAATGACCTTGTAATGTTCCACACATGGTGTTTTTTCTTCCTCAACCTGACAGAGGAGGAATCCAGGATCACCACAGTCCTACATCAATGTGCCATTTTTATTTTAACATTTTTATAGATGAAGGACATTTTTTTATTCCTTACAAATAAGCTCTCATTGTTCTTGGTTCTATTTTTGATGATAAAATATTTTAAAAATCCTTTATATCTCCCTGTCCTCTTATTGTCTTTTCATGGAGAGCTAGTTATAGCTTTGGATATCTGGGACAAAACAGCCAAAGGAGTAACACACTTGTAGGGTGTATGTTTCTATTTGTAGATGAGTAACTGTTAAAAAAACTTCAAAAGGATATCTCACCTTTGAAGCTCAGTTCATATTCCCTTCACCATTCTATATCTACGCTGCAACAGAAGACCCATGGCTGGCCTGGATCAGCTGACTTGGGCTGCATGTCTGTAAAATTGCTGTGTAGACCTCTGGGCTTGGTCTGGAGCCTGGGCTCTGAGATCCCAATGAGGGGTGGGGTGTCCCAGAGCCCAAATATCTACACAGCAATGATATAGCCCTGCAGCCCAAACCCTGCAAGCCTGAGTCAGCTGACCCAGGCCAGCTGTGAACGTGTCATGGGTCTTTTATCACAGTGTAGGGGCAAATTGCAACACCTTTACACACTGACTATAATGTGATTATTTTTGTGCCTAACTGCAGGTTATTACGTGTAAGGGGCTTAAAATCTGGTCCTAAACTTTTGTCTCAGAACTCAAAGAAAAATTTATTACATCCTTCAGTCATTTATATGCAATGGATGAACTCAATTCACTCTAGACAAAATTGAAAGTTTCTGAGGCTAGTCCTCTGATAATAAATTGCAATGAGAGAACCATATTAGGTTGTTTCTATAGATGTCTGAGTACCCTTTACAGCCATCAGCAATATATTTTGCATATGTACATTACTTGCAGCCAAAACTATTTTGGACTGTCTTTCAGTGTTGCTTAAAAGCCACAAAGCTTGATACAGCATTCATCATCCTCTAGATAAATGTACTAGCTTGAGTTTCTTTAATCTTTACTGAGCAGTCACCCCCAAGGGATATCACTAATGAAGATTCATGCATATTTGGTCTGTCATGATTTAGGTCTTAAGCAGCTTCACTGAAGTTTTCTTAGGGTATGTCTAAACTACGAAATTAGGTCGATTTTATAGAAGTCAATTTTTAGAAATCGATTTTATACAGTGTGTGTCCCCACTAAGTGCATTAAGCTGGCGGAGTGCGTCCTCAATACCGTGTCTAGAATCGACTCACGAAGTGGTGCACTGTGGGTAGCTATCCCGCAGTTCCCGCAATCTCCGCTGCCCATTGGAATTCTGGGTTAAGCTCCCAGTGCCTGATGGGGCAAAAACATTGTCACAGGTGGGTTTGGGTATATGTGAAAAGCTCTGTGAAAGCAATGGCAGACAATTGTTTTGCGCCTTTTTTCCTGGGTTACCCGTGCAGACACCATACCACGGCAAGCATGGAGCCTGCTCAGATCACCACTGCTGTTGTGAGCATTGTAAAAACCTCGTGCATTATCCTGGAGTATTTGCAGAATCAGGCTAAGAGATGCCAGCACGAGGACATGGACACAGACATTCCTGAAAGCATGGGCTGTGGCAATTGGGACATCATGGTGGCAGTGGGGCTAGTTGATACAGTGGAACACTGATTCTGGGCTCGGCAAACAAGCACAGACTGGTGGAACCGCATAGTGTTGCGAGTATGGGATGATTCACAGTGGCTGCGAAACTTTCGCTTGGGTAAGGCCACTTTCCTTGAACTTTGTGAGTTGCTTTCCCCTGCCCTGGAGCGCAGGAATACCAATATGAAACCTGCCCTGACAGCTGGGAAGCGAGTGGTGATAGCCCTGTGGAAGCTTGCAACACCTGACTGCTACCGGTCAGTCGGGAATCAATTTGGAGTGGGCAAGCCTACTGTAGGCACTGCCAATGCAATCACTGACATTCTGTTATCAAGGGTAGTGACTCTGGGAAATGTGCAGGTCATACTGGATGGCTTTGCTGCAATGGGGTTCCCTAACTGTGGTGGGGTGATAAATGGAATGCATATCCCTATCGTGGCACCAGACCACCTTACCAACCAGTACATAAACCGCAAGGGGTACTTCTCAATGGTGCTGCAAGCAGTGGTGGATCACAAGGGACCTTTCACTGACATCAACGTGGGATGGCCGGGAAAGGTGCATGAAGCTCGCATCTTTAGGAACTCAGGGCTATTCGAGCAGTTGCAAGAAGGGACTTACTTCCCAGACCAGAATATTACCATTGGGGATGTTGAAATGCCAATAGTTTTCCTTGGGGACCCTGCCTGCCCCTTGCTCCCATGGCTCATGAAGCCATACACAGGCAGCCTGGACAGTAGTAAGGAGCAGTTCAACTATAGGGTGAGCAAGTGCAAAATGGTGGTAGAATGTGCCTTTGGACGTTTAAAAGCTCGCTGGTGCTGTTTGCTGACTAGGTTAGACCTCAGTGCAACCAACATTCCCATTGTTATTGTTCCTTGCTGTGTGCTTCATAATATCTGTGAGAATAAGGGGGAGACGTTTATGGGGAGGTGGGAGGTTAAGGCAAATCGCCTGGCGGCTGATTTTGAGCAGCCAGACACCAGGGTAATTAGAAGAGCACAGCAAGGCACGCTGCACATCAGAGAGGCTTTGAAAACCAGTTTCATGACTAGCCAGGCTACGATGTAACAGTTGTGTGTGTTTTTCTTTGCTGCACACCCGCCCCCTTTTTTTAATTTTAATTCTCTGTAAGCCAACCACTGTCCCCCCTTCGATCACAGCTGGGAAAGGAAATAAAGTAACTATTGTTTTGAAACCATGCATTCTTTCTTTATTAATTAAAAAAAAAAAAACGAGAGGTAACTGACAAGGTAGCCCAGGTGGGGTGAGGGAGGAGGGAAGGACAAGGCCACATTGCTTATTGTAGCCACACTACAAATCAAAACTGTCTGAATGACAGCCTTCTGTTGCTTGGGCCATCCTCTGGAGTGGAGAGGCTGGGTGACCGGAACCTCCCCCCGTGTTCTTGGGCATCTGTGTGAGGAGGATATGGAACTTGCAGAGGAGGGCAGGCAGTTATACAATGGATGCAGCGGTGGTCTGTGCTCTTGCTGGCTTTTCTGCAGCTCCAACAGATGCTTCATCATGTCTGTTTGCTCCGCCATTAGCCTCAGCGTCGTCTCCTGCCTCTGCTCTTCACGCTCACTTAATGCTTTCCTGGTCTCTGCCACTGAATGCCTCCATGCATTAAGCTGTGCGGGAGGGCTGCATGAGCTCGGAAAACATGTCATTGTGAGTGCATTTTTTTTTTGCCTTCTAATCTGCGATAACCTCAGGGACACAGATGATAAAGGGAGCATAGAAACATTTGCACATGGGGGGAGATAAAAAGAGTAAAATTTAAGATGATACATTTCTGAGAACAAATGGGAGACTCTTTCACAGTGAATCAAGCAATTCACAGCAGACAGCACATGTGCTTTAGGTCACACTTTGCCTTTT